TTTCAAAGCTGTTCGTTATTTCCTTTTAGGTTTTTAAGGTTTATTTATTTAGAGAGAGACAGCGTGGGTGGGGGAGGGGCAGAGAGAAAGGGAGAGCGAGAATCCCACGCGGGCTCCGCACTGTCAGCACAGAGCCGGACGTGGGGCCGGACGTCACAAAACTGAGATCGTGACCTGAGCCGAGATCAAGAGTCCGATGCTTAACCGACCGAGCCACCCAGGCGCCCCTCAAAGCTTTTCATTATTGTTATTTTCGTTTTGGTGATCTGTGGTCCCTGGTTATGCCTTGCTGAACGCTCAGGTGTTGGTTAGCATTTTTTAGCAATAAAGTATATTTATTTAGGGTACGTACATTGTTGTTTTTTTTTTTAAGGCAAAATCAATTGCCCACGTAATACAGTACAGCGTGCTGTAAACGTAACTTTCAAGTGCACTGGGAAAGCAAAGCATCGTCTGTTGCGGCGGTCTGGAACCGAACCTGCAGGGTCTCCGAGGTGTGCCTTTATAAAGACAATGAAACTGCCACCTGAGGAATGAGGACACAAGTCCTCGGTCACCTCTGTTTGTGCCGGAGTAGCCCGTAGTGGCGCCCTGTGTCTTAAGCCAGCTGAATCCTCACCTTGTGTCCTGTGACAGCATTCCATTTCCGTTCCCCTTGAAAGTCCACGAAGTGTCCATAGTTTTCCTTCTCTTCTGCCCTTCGTGGCGGATGACCGGCTCTAAATGGCCAAGCCAGTGGCAGTCGTGACTGCGTTAGATGTCTGTTGCGGTAAAGCTGATCCCCACAGGCGGTGTGGGCCGCAGACAACACATGCTCATCATGTCACGCGCATTCTGAGGGTCGGGAGTCCAGGAGCAGCGGGACTGGGTGCTTCTTGCTCCAGGCCGCATGGCGCTGGGGTCAGGGTATCAGCCAGGCCTACAGCCATGTGAAGGCTCGACTGGGGCCGGGAGCCCCCCCTTCCAGGATGGCTCGCTCACACCGCTTGTGCCGGCCACGTGGACCTCCCCATAGGCTGCTCGAGTGTCCTGGTGACGCTTCGCGTGAGCGATCTGAGACAGCAAGGCAGAAGCGATGCTGTCTGTCACACCTAAATTCAAATTTTTTTTTTTTTCAACTTTATTTATTTATTTATTTATTTTGGGACAGAGAGAGACAGAGCATGAACGGGGGAGGGGCAGAGAGAGAGGGAGACACAGAATCGGAAACAGGCTCCAGGCTCCGAGCCATCAGCCCAGAGCCCGACGCGGGGCTCGAACTCCCGGACCGCGAGATCGTGACCTGGCTGAAGTCGGACGCTTAACCGACTGCGCCACACAGGCGCCCCTGTCACGCCTAAATTCAGAAGCCGTGTGCTGCCTTCTCTTCCGCGTTCTCCTGGCTGCGTGGGCCGGCTCGCTGCGGTTACAGGGGACCACATGGGACACGCCTCCCAGGGTGCGGGGCCCGTGGGGCCTTCTTGCGAGGCTGCCACCCCACTGATGGCTCGGCCTCTTGACTTCCGTTGCGTGAGGCCCAGCAGGTGCTTCCAGAACCTGTGGCACAAGAAGCACCACCGCCCTCCGTCCCCCCCTTGAGTTCTGAGAGCTTGAAGATTAGATCAAGTGTAGCTGGTTGCTGATTCATCTCACTCTTAAATGTTTTTATAAATTCACAGATTGGGTGCTATCAGGGCTTTGCTTTCGCTTGGCGATGTCTCCTGCACAGTTGTGCCACCGAGAAAGACAGGTAAAGTTAAAGATTTCTTTCTTTTCCAGCATGTGGACCAGGAGTCCTGGTTCCATAGCTCACTGTGATTTTGGACAGTTAATGCGTCCGTCTCCTCACCTCCAAAGTGGAAAAACTATCGGGCCAGACTTGAATGTTGTCGCGATATTTACAGGGAATGGTAAATAGAGAGTGCGGGCCCTGTTTTTGGTGTTCGATGAGCAAGGTTCCGATTACTTCTGAGGAGTTTTTGGCGCCCTCTGCCTTTTCCTGGAATCTTAGATACCCGGCCAGTAAGATAATGTTCAAATTGATGGCATCTTCTTGTTCATCTTTCCCCTGGGCTTCTGATAAGCGCTGTAGGATGTTCTGGGTGTGAGCGGGGCTCAGGAATGGTGACTGTGTTGTCGTTAGTTTTTTAGTGCAGCTGCTAGGTCTGCTCGTGTGATAAGGCATTGAGTATGTTTGACCTGACTCTGGGACTTGGAGGCACCTAGTAAATGTGGCCGTGTTTTGTATCGTTCGTCCTCTTCTTAAACTCTCCCTACTGCGTGCTACCTGCTCAAGCCCCCACGGCCCCGCTGCACATCTGTCTTTGCCCTAAGCTGGAAATGAGCCTTAAGGCAAAAGGCACACGTGGTCTGGCCGTCCTCCTGCTCGCGGGCCCCTGCGTCATGCTGTTGTCTGGTGGCTTTGCCTGGCCTGGGAGGGGCCCTAGGACACTGGATAACAGAGCAGGGAGGGTGGCATTCCCCTGTCGGGGCGACTCATTGTCTTATTTGAAATAACTTTGAACTTCTAGAATTTGGGCCGCCTCCGTATCCGAATGTGAGGAGAGGAACGCCGGCGGCTGACTGTGGGTGATGCCGAGATCGCCCGCGATGGGCTGCCTCCTCCATTGAGTCCCCATGAGTAGCCCAGGGTGGCCCGGATGTGGAGTTAGCCCGGGGCACGTCGCGGGGGGTGGGGGGGGGGGCAGGGGTGGTCCTCTGAGGACTGCGGGAGCAGTCGGGGAGCGGTCCGCGTCTCGTGGCGCCCCTGGGCGGCAGTCCCAGCTGAGCTTGGCTCTCCGTCTGGGTCTGGTCCACGAGAGGACAGGATGGGGAGAGGCAGTGCTTGGCGCTCTCCATCAGTCTCCCCTTCTCTCCAGCTCCGACGCGTGCTGGCTTCCGGAGGAGAGCCGCGCTGTGTGGAGGGGTCCCACAGCCAGGGCCTGCCGCCCCCGCCCCCCGTGGGGGCTCCTGAGTCCTTCCTTTTTGTTTTCTTAAAGTTTATTTATTTTGGGAGCGAGAGATTGAGCCTGTGCGTGGAGGGGAGGGGCAGAGAGAGAAGGAGAATCCCAAGCAGGCTCCGCACTGTCAGCGCAGAGCCCGGCGTGGGGCTCGAACTCACCAACTTTGAGGTCATGACCTGAGCCGAAATTGAGAGTGGGACGCTTTACCCACCGAGCCACCCAGGCGCCCCTGATTTCTTCAAGCCGTGCACGCAGCCCCTTGTCAGGGGAAAGCCCTGCAGCCCCTCGCTGCTGCCCATGCTGCACCAGCACAGCCGGAGGGGCTCCTTGAAACACAGCCTAAAAGCCTTTCTCACCGAGCTGTGCTTTCCAGGTTTTTGCACTTCAAAGAAATTTGTTTAGTTTATTTTTGAGAGAGAAACAGAGCGTGAGTGGGGGAGGGGCAGAGGGAGGGGGAGACACAGGATCCGAAGCAGGCTCCAAGCTCTGAGCTGTCGGCACAGAGCCCGATGCGGGGCTTGAACCCATGAATCGCGAGATTATGACCCGAGCTGAAGTTGGGTACTCGACCCACTGAGCCACTCAGGCACCCCCGCAGGTTTTTGCATTTTTATGTCAGTATGATTTTAAAAAATTTAAAAATTTTTTAAATGTTTTATTTATTTTTGAGAGAGAGAGAGAGAGAGAGAGAGGCAGAACATGAGAGGGAGAGACAGAGAGGGAGGCCCAGAATCCGAAGCAGGCTCTATGTAGGCCCTGAGCTGTCAGCACAGAGCCCGACGCGGGGCTCGAAGCCACGAACCACAAGACCATGACCTGAGCCCAGGTCGGACGCTTAACTGACTGAGCCCCCCAGGCGCCCCCTGTCAGTACAGGTTTTAAATGGTTGTTTAAATGTGTACACGTGTGAACGGTCTCCCCCAGCCCCCCGGGGGTGGGCCCCGGCCTCCAGGGTCCGGGGGAAGCAGAGAGACTTAACCCTTGCAGGGTCCGGTACTTTCCCTCCGTCCTGGGTACTGAGCTTTATGGAGAGGCCTGTGCTCCAGAAAGCCTGTGATGTGGCCGGCAGGTGTGCGTGTTGCAGACGAGGATGCCGAGGCTCAGAGACGTCCCACAGCCGCCCCGCCTCCCAGCAGAGCTTTGTCTCGGCGGGAGAGGGGACCGAACCCGGACCCCTGACCCTGATTCCTGCCCTTGGGAGGGAGGGGCTTGCCGGTTTACCTGCCGCCCAACTCGCCAGGGCTGTGAGCGTGAGCGTGTCGAGGTCCCGAAAATCCCAGGCCCCAGAGCAGGCTGGGTCGTGCCCCGGCACCCTTTTCTTGTCTGGCTTTGTCTGTCCCGCCTCTGTGACCTAGAGAGGCCGTGGTTGCTGTGGTCGTGGCGGGCGCTTGCTCCCTGGCCGGGAGACCGGTCTCTCCGGAGCGTCATACACCCCGATGGCGAGTGTGGGGTGCGGGCGAGAGCACGTGGCTAGGTAAATAAATATTATTGAGTGTAGCGAGAAATTAACCATCTGGCTTCTGAACCCAGGCACGCTTCCCACGCCCACCGCTTTCAAGTACGTGATCGGCAAAGCTGCTACGTAAGCGGAGCCCATTATGCAAAAGGGACTAAAAGTCTTTATTTCTGTGCTTTACAGCAAAAAGATGAAGGCCTTAGAATCGTTGATTGGAATGATTCAGAAGTTCCCTTACGATGACCCTACCTATGAGAAACTTCACGAAGACTTAGACAGAATCAGAGGGAAGTTCAAACAGGTCTGTCCCCTGCACGTCTCTCTTCGATTCGGAAGTGCGTCTCTCCGGCGGCTGGTGCGTGGTCTCGGGGCTCACGTCGCTCGTGGCCTGGGGGCTGCGTGCGCCCTGCAAGCGGCATTTCTGCGTCTCCGTGTAAGAAAAGGGAAGACGGCCTAGAGAACGGGGTTAGGACTTCCTTAGGGGGTGGGGTCGTGGAGTCGAGAAGCTGCAGGTAGAAAGTTTTGTTCTGATTTGTGAGTAAAAATACGTAAGGTTTTAAAAAATACATCCTTTTTCTTTTGTGTTTTCAGCTTTGTTCACTACTGAATGTTCAGCCGGACTTTAAAATTAGTGCGGAAGGTTCTGGACTTTCGTTTTGAGGATGACAGATGAACAAAGACGAAACATCAAGGAACAGATGTCCGTATGTTAAGTGTTTAAAAATGTGATTCAAGGCAAAACAATGATGGAGTATTCATTGTTCTGGGGGGAGGGATCCAGTCCGGCCGGTGAAAGGGCTTCCTTCTCCCTGGGGGCCTCCTGTGTCGCCTCGGTGCCCCCCCCCCCCCCCCCCCCCCCACGGGCCCGGCGTTTGGGGGGGGGGGGCCCCGCGGGGGGCCCGGTGGGGCCCCCCCCCCCCCCGCCCCGGCCTCGGGAGGCCTCTCCCTTGCGGTGCAGGGTCCGCTGGCCTTGCGGCCCCCTCCAGTGGACGGGCCTGACCGGTTCTAGACTGGGGGTGGCCCTGGCTGCGATTTCCCCCCACCCGAGCCTGAAATCAGCACTCAGAAGAACAGGTCTGTAACAGCCGAGAGCACCACGGCTGGCCTGACGGGAGATGGCGGTGGTGTGCCCAGGACAGTGCCCTTCGTTGACCCGTAAGATGTGCCAGCGCCGGGTGATGTGCTCCCTCCCCTGTTCCGGTTATCCCTGCAGTGTTCCCACTTCACAGATGAGGAGACCGAGACCCGCGGGGACTGCCCGATCCAAGGGCGCCCGGCAAGCAGAGCCGGGGCTCCGTCCTGCGCCCGCCTGTCACCACCGTCTGGTGCTGCCTGCCCTGGAACGCGCCTTCGCAGCCATGGAGCAGGGTCGCTGCTCTCGGGCCCCGTGTGCCCAGGGCCCCGCTGGGGAGTCCACCACGACCAGCTGACGTGGGCACCTGGCTTGGAGCGGGTTCCGAGGGAGCCTGGACACGCTCTTCGCACGGCCTCTCTCCGCATCGGGCTGGGGCTTGGCAGCGTTGAGCGTGGGTAAAGGGAAGATACTTCAAGGACTAGATGTCAGGCCACTGTCGTGCGTACGCAGAAAGTTTGGGAGCCTTACGTTGAGGACGCTGTGTTTTCCTGTCATACGAGTTCCTTTGCCTTCTGCCCGTACCTGGCGGGCATCCGAATACCACCGTGAGGTCTGGATTGCTGGCGCAGGTGACGCAAGGTCGTGGCTCCTGGGCGTCCCTCTGCCCGTGCGTCTGCGCACCCCCGGGGGGTGGGGGGCAGGGTTGCCGGCAGGTCCCGCCTGCACCTGTCTGCGGCAGCGCGGCCGAAAGTGACTTGTGAGATTGATAAGGGGTAACCGCGAATCGTCCCGGTTTTTAAATATGTTCCAGAGCGTCTTAGCGACGGCTGTTGTGCCGCCCGGGCCGGTGGTCGTGAGAGCCTGCCGGGAGACCCGAGGCCGGGGGCCTCGAAGGAGCGGGGCGCTGGGTGTTTTCTTTCCTCTGGTTCCGTTGCCCTGGCGGGTGTGCTGAGGACGAGAGAGGTGGCTTCAGCTGGTGAAGGTGGACACTCGGGCTCGAGCCTGGCACGCTGTCGCAGGCGGGAGCGTCACCGCGCACGTCTCTGTCTCCGCCCCACCCGGCTCCCGGGGCGCTCGCGTGCTCGTGCACCGCCTCACGGCCGGACCCTGCGGCCACAGACACCGACTGCGGGTGTCCCTCGCCGGTGGGATGGGGGGCTCTGGTGGTTTTCCCTGGGGGACTGTTTTCTGAGCGTTCTGTTTTGATAACGTATTACTCTGTTACAAGCAGAGAGCAGAATAAACAGATTGCAAAGCAGAAGGCCTTCTGGTACTGTTTGTAGTGTGACATCCAGCAACTTAACTACTTTCTGGTATTTGGGATTTAGGTAAAAGAGCAGGCAGGCGTGCAGTCGGCCCGGGCACAGCTTCCTGTTGTGTTTCCGTCCACGCGCCTCCTTAAAACACAGAGATGTGGTTCTTGGGAGAGAGTAGTGCCCTGTGATGTTCGGCGAAGGGTCAGCTCCCGCCACCCCGGGCCCGGCCACCTGTCCGCACTTACTACTGTTCCCTCCTGCCCAGACCCGCCGTGTCCCTCTCTGTGTCGGCCTCTCCCGCCGCGGGTGTTAGCGTGGGCCAAAGGCGGCCTTTCCTGCCTCCCCTGTTTCCTTCAGAGGCTCTGGACCCGGGCTGCCCCCGTGCCCGCCCAGCTCCTCCGCAGACAACTGGACCCGGTGTCTAGGAACCCTTGGCTGCCTCGGACACTCCTTGATTGTGGCACAAACCCAGGCCTCCTTGACGCTTGCGCTCCGTGCCGGGGGAGGTCATCTGCAGCGACTGGTTCAGGCGTGCGCATGGCTCCCCTCGGCCGATGAGACGCGAGTGGCTCCTGGGAAAGGTTATGGCACTCCAGAGAGAACATATCTGTTTCGGAAGCTGTCCCACGGAACTGCTTGTCCCGTGGACGTGACCGACCCCTGGAATCACTGCAGGAGACTTGCACCTGGCTATGGACGAAAGCACACCTGGGCGTGGTGTGGCAGGAGCCGGCGAGGACCCGGCCCTGGTGGCACCGAGCAGCTGCCGGCCGGCCCCTGAGCCGCATTGCTTCTGGACTTGACGTTACGTGAGCTGACGAATGTCCCCGAGTTCAAGGCTGTTGGGGTTGGGTTTCCGTTCACAGGCAAGGTTTCCTGCTTGTGTTCCCCCGTCCCATCCGATCCTGTCCTGGGCACCTAGTCCTCTCGGATGTTAACCTTTGTCCGTGTTGGCCTTGAGTTTGGGAGCTGTCCGGCTTGGGTTTTGTTTCTTTCTGGTGGTTCATTGTCTCCCCAAGGCTTTGGCCTGCTCCCTCTTTCCTGTTGGAAACCCCCAGCGTGTTTTGTGCCACTATTAGCCCACTGGGGCCACCATGACAGACACCGTGGACTGAGGCTCAGCCAGTTGACATGTCCTGCCCCCCCCCCCCCCCCCATCCTGGATGCTGGAGCCCGAGGTCCAGGCGTGGGCAGGACCAGGCCTCCCGAGGCCTCTCTCCTTGTGTGTGGACGGCCGTCCTCCCCGTGTCCTCACGGGGCCGTCCCTCTGTGCGTGTCTGTGTCCTGATCCCCTCTTCTTACAAGGACCCCGGTCACACGGGATCAGGGCCCACCCTTGCCTTAAGGTGAGCATGTTACCATAATCACCTCTGTGAAGACCCATCTCCAGATACAGACCCTCTGTGAGGTGCTGGGGGTCAGGGCATCAACGTCGGAAATTCTGGGGACACCATTCAGCCCATGGCAGCCACCCGCATGGCTGCTGGGAAAGACTGCTGACTCAGGACTTGGGAGAGAAGAAGGCGTTTCACCTGGAGCTGCTTCATCGAATTCTGGAATGTGAGTGATCGGGACCTAGGGCAATGCCTGCTGCCTAAAAGAGCACCACTTTTCACTTCTTACTTATGTCGTATTCATCTCACTTTTTCTCTCCCCAGGGGTGAGGAAAGAATTCAGAGACGCTCAGGGAGCCTGTCAGTGGGGTGGGGTGTTCAGTATGAGGGAACGGGAAGGTGGGCAGGGAAGGCTTCCTGGAGGAGGTGTCCTTCATCCCACTGCTTTTGTGAGTTTTCATCGGACCTCAGCGCCACAGAGAGTCTCCCGCTGTACTTGTGAACAGCAATGGAATATGGAGGTGACCAAAAACGAATCTGGCTGGAGGTCATCCTCCTTCCTAGATCAGTCCCAGTCCTGGATGAATGAAGTGGGCCGCTGGTCTCTGACTCGGGAAACTCAAGCCACCAAGCAAGTCCTGTTGACCAGACAAGAGTGGGCGCGGCGTCGAGTCCCACAGTTGAGGGCCCTGGCACGAAACGGTCAGTGGCTTGTCTGAGTTGACTAAGTGGCCCCGCTGAGGCGTTGCAGATTCATTGTCCGAATAGGAAGTTCACTCCTAACTTCGGGGGCTTCTGACTCTCTTCTTCGTGCCTGATTAAAGCCTCCCCCCCCCATCTCCCCCCACCCCCACCAGCATCAAGGTGCTTGCCCGTTTGCCCCTTGGGGACCCCTGTGGAGACCGCACTTTGGCCGCGTCTCTTCGGGCGCTGTAGCAGATCAGCGGGGCCTTGGGTGGCGGCTCCAGAGGTTCTGCCGTGGGTGATTCCCGAACGTGACCTCGCTTGCGCCGCTCAAGAGTGATGGGCCGGGGAGCGCAGGCACCCGGGAGCGCTCGCTGAACCCAAGGCTCAGTGACAGGTTGGCTCCGTCTTTCCCACCAGGATTCAGCGAGCATGTGCCGTAGCAGTGGGGGAGTGCCCCCGGAATGGCGGGGTGCTCGCTGAACCTGCCCCCCGGTTTGCGAGCTCTGACTCGTCTGTCGTGGGTTGAATTGTGTCCCCCACAAAGAGCTGTGCTGCAGTGCTTGCCCCGGGTACCTGTGGACGCAGCCTGATTTGGCAGTAGGGTGTCGGCAGGTGCAATTAAGGCACGAGGGGGGATGGGTCGCACCCAAGTGACCGGCCTCAACGAGGAGGGGGGACTCACAGGGAGGAGATGCCGTGTGAGGCAGACACTCAGGCGGGGCCGAGGTCGCAGCCGTAAGCCGGAGAAGGCCAGGAGTGCCAGCAGCCACTGGAGGCAGGGAGAGAGCATGGGCCGTCCCACACCTTGGTTTCAGACCTCCAGCCTCCACAGCTCAGCCCCAGCATTTATATCGGCAACACATTAAATCCAGGAAAGGCAGAAAACGTATGGACACTGCTGTGGGTAAGAATCCTTGAAAACCAAATGACAGGATGCCCGTTTTATCAGACTGACTTAAACAGTAAAGGACAGCGATGGTCTCCTGGAACAAAAGGGCTCTCACTGGTTTCAGGAAAGGCTTGATCCAGCAGCTCGTCTGGAGAGCTGGTACCTTCTTTCTGGTTTCCCATAAGACCTGCTTCAAGCTTAGATGCCACCCCAAGGCCCGCAGCAGCTCCCACAGGGTGGTGGGAGAGCCGCCCCAGTGCCCAGGGTCCCGTGGACAGGGGAGGGCTCTCTTTTTCAGAAGCCCCAGGAAACCTCTCTCCCTGTGTCATTGGCTCTGTTAGACTCTGCATTTACCCTCGAGCCTGCCGCCTTTCAACACCACCACCCCTGGGCGGGGGCGGGCAGATGTGCTGTTGGGTTTGAGCCCATCCGGGCCTGTCCTGGAGCTGGGGATGGGGTCATTCTCACCCGCGCCACAGAGGGGAAGGACCGGCACCGGGCGGGGGGATTGGGGCTGGCGCGAAGAACAGGAACTGTCCCCTTTATGAGCCCAAAGACGAAGTAAGTGTGGCCTTGCTGCTACTACCCAGAGAGCCGCCGTTGGGTTTGGGGGTCCTTCTGTCCACACCTGGGTGACGCACGGGGTGATGATGGCCTCTACTGAGCAGTGACTGTGTCGGGCGCCGTGCTAAGTACCTCACACGCTCGGGCCATCTAGCCCTCACCTCCCGAAAGCACCGAACTGAGGTTACTGAGAGCTCCAGGTCCGGGCTGGGCCAGGCCTCAGATGCCGAGCAGGGTGCAGACCCCACCCTGCCCTCCGTCCAGCATCCGTTCTCCTGGACACACTTATTCCCATTTTCCAGGTGAGAAAGTGGAAGCTCAGAGAGGGAAAGGTTGCAGAACTGAGATCCAGCCCCTAGGCCTTTTACGCCCAGACACGCATGCTCGCGGACGCGCGCGCGCGTGTGAGCGTGCTCTCTAAACCACCGTGGGTCACCTTGCACGTCCGCTGCCTGGAGGAGGGCAGCCTGGCCCACCGGCCAGGACACCGCCCTGACTCGGGACCACGGACAGAAGCCTGGCACGTGGGTGGACCTGACCTCGGCCGCTGGGCCTCCTGGCGGAGCTGAGCTTCAAGCGCACGCGCTGGCCGTCACGCGAAGCTTCGTGCGTTTTCTTCGGGCCTGCTTTTGAAGACTGTGCCCTTCTCTGCAAGGTGGCCAAGCCAACGGACAGGAGTGCGGGCTTCGGACACACGATCTGGCCCCTGGGCCTGACTTGGTCAGTTCCTGGCTGTGTGATCCAGGCCCCGTCGCTTCCCCTCTCCGGGCCCTGGTCTCCTCATCTACAACAGGAGGCTGAAAATCGCCACCCTCGGCCCCTGTGCAGCCCACTGCCCGTCGGGGCCCACGAGGCCCGGCTGGCACGCGGCCTCGCTCATTCATTTACCGTCGTCCTCGCCTGCTTCTGCCCAGGGGCGTAGTCGAGAGGGACGGAGGACATGTGGCCGGCGGGGCCGCAGCCACTGGCTCTGGCCCTTTGTGTGGACTCTGCCCACGCTTGGCCCCCAAGGTGGAGAAGCTTGTAGCTGTGGGAACGCAGGGCCCGCTCACCAGTGGTTTCAAGACCTGGGGAGGCTGTAAGGCGGGCCCAGTGCCTGGTCTGCAGCTCGCGCTTGGGGCGTCTGAGCCGTTACCCTCCCGTGCTGGACGGAGAAGGAACCCCTCGGAGGGCCGGGGTCTGAGGCGCGCAGTGATCCCCCTGGTTGGCCCACTGGCTCTTAAGAAGACTGAGACGTTGGCCCGTCTGCGCTGCCTACAGCTGAAAATTAAAAGGATTAACGGACGCGGCCTTCTTTGAGAGGCTCGAGGCCCACCGAAGCCCCTTTAGGAGGGCTTCATATTTCTCCCCCCCCCCCAACCTCCTTGGGGGCCCCTGGGAGTGGTGGTGACAATGCCCCCGGATGTGGGCCTCAAGGCCCTCGGCCCGGAGCTGCCCGCCCACCGTCCGACAGCTATTGTCTGCCGGGCCGCAGTGTGGCTCGGGGCCGGGGGGCCGGTGGGCCAGGGGACTGTGGGAACGGATTAGAGGCCCTGGGTCCGAGTCCCCCTCTGCATAAACTCCTGATCAAAGGCATTCCTGGGATGACAGAGCCCTGTGTGCCGCAGAGGCCTGTCCAGCCCGCGGGGCGTGTGCTTCACGCAGCCAGCTACCCGGACACGTGTGGGAGCCCACGCCGCGAGCGGCCTGCCGTGTGACCGTCGTCCCCCCGCCAAGCACAGAGCCAAGGCGCGGGGGCAGCGAGGCTTCCAGGAGGCCCCCGGCACCACGGGCTCGGGTGGGTCCCGGGAACCCGAGGTGTGGCCGTAGTTCCCGGGGGCCCGGCAGTGCCCACCTCTGCAGACACAGCCGGCTGCTTGCCCCCCGGGGCCCCTGGGGCCGCTCCTCGTGACACAGGGGTTTGCCCATGGCGCCCGGGTTCGGCCAGAGCCGTCCCTCTGCAGCGCACGACACAAGCTGGGGTCGGCCCGCGGGCCCGGCCTGTTGCCCCTTCTGTCTGTCCTGTTCCCACTTCCGCTTCTGAGCACCCCCGTCTGCCAGGCTGGGAATAGGGCAGCAGAGAAGGGACAGCGAGGTGTCCGTCCTCAAGGACTCCTAGCCCGGAGTGGGGAACACTCAGGTGTCGTGACTCCTGGACCTTCCAGAGCCACCTGCCGGGGGCAGGGGTGGCGGTGCCTGCAGGGGGGCCTTGAAGGGGAGCGGAGGGGAGGGCACTTCAGGCGCAGAGCTGGAGGCAGGAGATAGTCTGGTGTGTCTGTAGTCCCCGGGGGTGGAGACTCGGGTTGGGTCTTCTGAGGCTGGGGGAACGTAGGTCGGGAGGGAGACTTGGGGGGAGTGGGGCGTGAGTCCGGGAGAGGTGAGGTGAGGAGGGAGAGGCGGGGTGAGGGGAGAGGCGGTGTGGGGTGGGAGGGGTGGGCGGGAGTGAGGTGGGTCAGGTGGGGAGAGGGGGAAAGAGGGTAGACAGGGGTGAAGGAGGAGAGGTGGCTCGGGTCTCGGGCCCTTGGACCAAGCTGGAAGGAGCTAGAAGCCCCCGAAGGTCTGGGCCCAGGTGGTCAGGAGGCAGTGGGCCCAGCGAGGAGGGTCTTTCCGGCTGGGGAGAGGGGGCAGCACGGAGCCTTCGTCTCAGAGGCCCCGCGAAGGCCAGCTTCTACCTGGGATACAGGCAGGGGACAGGCCCTCACTGTCCCCCCTCCCTCCTCCCCGAGGAGCCACGGGCACTTTGGCAGGGAAGGCCTACAGAGTCCTTTCTCGGGGTCTTCAGAGACCAGAGGCAGGGTGGGGGAGGTGGCAGACCCCTCCACCTGCTGCCCCTGCCCTGCACAGGGGCTTGGGCTCCCCTCCCCCACTTGCTGGATTTCCGCTGGAACCTGATGCCGTGAGGTTGTTACCTCTGCCCCCCGAAACCGCTCCTCAGGACACACCTGGCTGGTCCCCGGGGCTGGGCGCCTATGATGGGGCACATCCGGACACTTGCAGGGCGCCGCCCCGGCTCTGACCCCCTCCCGGAGTGCGTGTGGCATGGGCTGTATGTCCGCCGTCAGGCCTGGGGCCGCCGTGGGGAGCGCAGTCACCCTGGTCCCGCCACCCCCCGCCTGCTCCCGGCTGCTCCAGTGCCTGGAGTACCAACTAGCGGGTCTGGAGCCTCCCCGCTGGGGTGAGGGGCACCCTCAGGGGCGGGGCTGGTATACAGCAGGAGCCTCATAAAGGCCACGGCGAACTGATCTGATAAGGAGCGCTATCCTTGGCACGTGAACCAGCTTCCCTCCTGAGCAGTCACGCACCCGACCGCCCCGGGGTGGGTGACACGTTGGGGACCCCAGACTCTGAGAAGAGACCCGGGCCCCATGGCGGGGGCCCAAGGCCCGCTGACGCCTCCCCAGTCCGCTCCCCGCCTCCACCTGGGCTGGAAACGAGGCCGGCCACGTGCGTCCGAAGCCGAGGCGGACGTCACAGGTGTCCGCTGGGCCTCCCAGGTCACTAGGTCCGTGTGAAAGGCCACCGGCCTGCGGCCCAAACACGCGCGCTGTGCTCTTCTCCCTGAGCTGGGGGCGCCTCAGGGCCGTGATTCACCAAAAGCAAACACCGGTTTGCGCCAGAGGAGGGTTAGTGAATGCCGGCTTGTTTATTTTCCTATCTGCAGATAGCCTGGGAGGGGGCTGGCGGAGCGTGGGCCGGGAACCAGTCCCGAGCCGCCTGCAAAGACACTGACCAGCCGCTCTCCAGGGCTCCACCCTGGGGTCCCAGCGGCCCCTCCCACCGCATGCCCCCGGCTGGACTTCCTTCCTCCCAGCCGAGAGCATCACTTACTCCCTCTGGGTCACCGGGGGACCTGTGGCAATGTTGGGTTCTGGCTGTGACACCTGGGGACTGTCCCGCCATCTGTTGGGAAGGGGCCAGGGACACGGCTAAATACCGCACCGTGCACAGGGCGGCCCCCACCCCCACGACAGAGGAGGACCTGGCCCCAGATGTGGACGGCTCCAAGGTGCGAACCCCCGCGCCCAGTCTGGGAACCGGCCGCTTGGGCACCTGTTCGTCAGCACCGGGCCCCCCCCCGGCCCTGGCTCCCTGCCCACCCCAGGAAACAGACAGACACGGCACCGGGGTTTTACCAATTTTATTTCTAGACTTTTCACGTTTGTCTTTTGTTTTCTGCTGGCAACGTGCCGGTTACGCGTCTGTGCTGGGAAACGCCACAGGGTGCAACCGAAATACACACAGACCACAGCTGCCCACCCGCCAAGAGACCCTCACAGGCTTGCTGGTCACAGGACAGACTCCGCTGTGCTCCCCGGACCGGCCACGGCCTTTGAGCACACACGACGTTCACACCCCCCCCCCCCACCAGGACAGACCGTCCCTCAAGGGCCCCGTTTGGTTCAGACACAGAGATGCCGCAGCCAGAAAGGTTGAGGTAAGCGGAGGCAGTGCTCCTGCAGGGGCGGGGCGGGGCGGGGCGGGTTCGGGGCCTGCCAATGGCCTGGGAGCACACAGGCTGACCCCGCTGGGGCAGGGGCCGCAGATGGTGCAAATCCTTGGAGTCGAGCAGCGTGCCAGGCGACACGGGAACACGGCACTGTTAGCTGGCCTCACTGAGGCTTGGAGTCCTTTGACGTTAGCATCACGCTGTACTGAAGAGAGCAACACACAGAAAACGCAGGTACAGAATGACAGATGCCACACGGCCGGAGCTGTAACCCGGTCCCGAAGCCGCTCTGAGCGTCCAGAATGACGGAGCCCCGCAGCACAGCACCACGCGGCACGTTAGGACACACTCGTCACAATAATTATAATAATGCAACTTTCATAGCTACACGCAAAGAACGACACGGCTGTAAAAACCACAGTGGTGGTACGTCCCAGGTCAGGAGGACAGCCCAGCATCACAGGCGCAGGGAGGAGGAGGCGGACGTGACCCGGGCCTCGGGGATGCCGGGCTGCGCGCACGAACGCGGCCCGGAGCCCATCCCGCCGGGCCCTTTTGGGGATCCCGTCCGCGTGTCTGTTCGCCGAAGCAGGAGGCCGCGGGCCAGGCGGGGCCTGACCGCCTGGTCTACACATGGCTAAGAGAAGCATGAGGTATCGTGAAACAGGAACCTTTTTGGAATAGAGCAGTAATCACATTAAGTCAAAATTGATCACATAAAAAAAAAAAAAATCTACAAAAAAAAAAGGCATCCTTAATACATTTTTCTATGAGAAAATTAAAACTAGAACATGGCAGTATATGACATCGTAAAACAAAACAAAACAAACTGATCCTCCAATAGCAGCAAAACAATGTGAAAGAGACACAGAAAAGCAACGTGAATCTGTTTCCAAACCGGGTGCTGGGAAGTCATCGGTAGCAGCGAATCAGGAAGCGGAGCGGCAGCCTGCCCGTCGCGTGGTCCCGCCCTCAGCCCTCCGCGCACACGCACCTCGCGCCCTCGCCAAGCACCAGCCCTGTGCTCTCGCTACCTCCCGACACTCCCTACGCAGTCGTTACAAAAAAAGGTACACAGCCAAGATGTGCAAATTGTCTACGGGTTGCTAACCTTTCTTAAAAGGAGGGGACAAGGGGATGAGAATGTGGGGGGGGGGGCGCTGAACTGGTTTCGAGTACCCTAATTTTCTGCCCAACTGATGCCTCTCGGATCGGGTTCCCGCCCTGGGAACCAAACGGCACAATCCGTGCTGTGTTTTTTTTCTCAGGACTTTTGTTATCTCTCCTATAAAAAAGGACCTAACGGTTATACACTGTGTGAAACCCATAACACCAAAGGCAGAAAGTTGTGTGTGTGTGTGTGTGTTTAAATCAAGGGGAGATTACATGACTTTATAAATCATACTGGCCTTACGAACATCCTCTGCAATAAATATTCTTTTTAGCCTTAACTATAAATTATATATTTTAGTGTTTCAAGACCTCCCTAACCCTTAAACTACACCTTCTCGAGGTAAACCTTTAAAGGCCCCTACTCTCAAACACCAGTTGGCACCAAAAGATTCCTAAACTTACACTACCCGACAGAGAAAGAAACGCATCATCCTGGCAACGTAAGAATGCACTTCTTGACTGGAAGCTCACCTTCGAGAACACCCCCTCCCGCTAACTCCACAGCGACATGCACTTGCCTCGCAATCCCGTCTGCACCCAAGTACGTGAATATTCCCAAACCATTCCATTAAGAAACTGCCCCCCCCCCTCCACACACAACATAAACAGAGAGATTCGTTGAAAGTGCTTGGAAATGGAATGGTTCTAGAATATCGAGAAGGAAAAAATGGTTCTAGGGCACTGGAGAGGAAAAATGGTTCTAGAACGTCAAACAGGAAAAAAGAGTTCTAGAACATTATAGAGGAGAAATGGTTCTAGAATATTGAAGAGGGAAAATGGTTCTAGAATATTGAGAAGGGGGGGTGGGGAAAGGGGCCGTGGATTTCACCTGGATGTGAGCAGGCTGTGGGTCTGTGGGGTGAGAAACCGGCATCTCCTAAACAGGCCACTACAAAAATATGAAGATTATAAAAATAGAATATATTACGTCGCGGTGGCGGGTTCTCTTTTACAGTAGCGCAGGCCAGGAGTCGGAGCTGGATTTCTGTGGCCGCCACGCCGGCCGGTGCCCGGCCACCCGCCCCGGGTCGGGCCACAGGTGGAGGGAGGGTCAGCACGCGGCCGTGCTGAGCTCTACGCTACGCTAACCGAGGTTACGCCAGCCACTGACAGGTGAGGAGGTTATGCGCCTACCTACGGGATAAAATGAACGCGCACAAATGACTTACTCATAAAGTGACTACATGCCCAAGCAAGCGAGTTGTGGGACGCCTAGAACCGCCTTAAAGCTGTGCTCCTTCAGAACAGCACACGAACACGTTTGCTACCTACGACCCTCTTCCGCTTCAGAAATGGTTTCTTGGCTTTTCTCTCGTTTTTACCGTGTTTTCATGCTTTTTTTTTTTTTTTTTGCCGTCGTTTTGTTTTAAACACAGAAAGAATCAAATCTAATCCTCCCCTGCAGACTTGTTCCTTGTGTTAATGCCTATCCTTACGACACAGAGACACAAACACGTTCGCATACGACCTAGTTGATTATGGGGTATAAGGTTCTCTATTTTTGTAGCACAGCCTCCCCCCACCCCCTCCCCCCAGCTCAGGGTTATGCAAATACTATTTTTTTTTTCTCTCCTTTTTTTTTCTTTTCTTTTTTTTTTTTTTTTTTAAAGACAGCTTCTCGGATACTTTTTTTTTCTTTTGCTTATGTCAGAGACGGAAGGGAGAAAGAGCAAAGGAAAAAAACCGACAGTAAAGGAGAAGGAAGCTTTCCCTTCTGGTCGTGACCGGTCCTGGCGAGGAGCGGTCCTGTCCAGGGAGCACCCGGGGCCGGCCCCTCCCGCGCCACGCACGCGCGCCCTCAAATGTTCACGTCTCGAACGTCGGTGGGTGTGCAGGCCAGGTCGGCCTCCTCCTCCTCCTCCTCCTCCTCCGCCGCCTTGGGGTCTAGGCTCTGCTGCTGGGCCTGGCGCAGGCTGGACTCCAGCAGGGCCTCGATTTGCTCCTGGCACGCCCGGAGACAGTCCTGGCCAGACGGGAGACAGGGAGACGGGGGGGTGCTCAGAAGGGGGCCTGTGGTCAAGGCCCTCCTGCAAACGCCAAGACCTGGACCGCCTTGTGAAAGTGAGGCTAATCTAAAGCACTGCCTCCCCGCAGTCGGGTGGGGCCACTGCCCGAACCCCAGGACCCACGGGCATGGGCTCCGCTTGGCCCCCGGCTGCCCCGGCCTGAGGAGCCCCCACTCGGGTCCGAAGGCCCCGGAGGCCACAGGGCTGCCGGCTGTCTCCCGTGCCCACCTGGTGCCTCCCTGGCCTGTCCCGAGCCCCCCCCCCTCCACCCCAGGACCCTGGCCCCCCGCTGGAATCCCTCTGCCAGGCTCTCATCCTGGCTCCCTGTTCCCACCAGCCCGAACTCAGCGCTATTTGACCCAGGACAGAGAGGCCCTCTGAGCCCTGCTTTTGGGACTTAACCTGTGCCGTGTCAGCCCCTGCGGTGAACCCAGCCTTCCGAGATGAATGGCTGTCAAAAGCGTTAGGCCGTGCATGACTGAGAATGAGCGTTGGGTGGCCCCGGGGGGACTCGGACCCTCTATCCCCCTCTGTCCTCACCCGCTTGGCCTGCACCCTGGGAGACACGCTGGCCTGGCCCAGCGTGCACCCCCGCAATCCCGCGGCCCTCCTCTGCCAGCAATCACCCCGAGTTCTCGATGCCCAAGAAGTCATCTTGGGGAGTCCAGGGCTTCTCGTGGTCTCATGGTGGCCAGTCTCCCCGCAGCTCAAAAGTGCAGGTGTCAGGCTTTGTCCCAACCCTGGGATGCCACACTGGGGCTTCTTTTCTAGAACCAGGTAGTCTCTGGTCCAGCCCGGAAGACAGATCCGAGCCTTTCCCCAGAGGAACAGGTGAACCGCGGGCCCACCTGGGGAGGGTGCTGCGAAACGGGCGTCCAGTGCCCCAAGGAAGGGGATCCAGGCCAGCAAAGCTTCCGAGTGAACCCTGGGGGACCTGCCACGTTTACAGAGCCATACGCTTCCGCGCGGAGGGCTCTCCTACGCCACCGGTTCAGTATTTGTCGTGGCTGGTGAGGAAAGCGGTGTAGGTGCAAAAATTCAGCTTTACGGATGAGGAAACTGAGGCTCGAAAGGCCTGGTGTTGGACCCAGGGCAGAGGGTGCAGGGAGGGACTTGTTTCCTCCTCACAGCCAGCAGCCTCGGCCCAGAAGAGCCGCCTCTGGCAGCCGGGAGCCAGCTCGGAGCAAGGGCAGACGCGGCTCATGCCCCAGGAATACGCAGGGCCCCGCCCGCCACCCAGTGTTTTCCGGACGTTTGTCGCCGGGTGACCAGACTAGCGAATTGCAGCCTCAACCGATTTCTCCCCCGTCCTCAGCTGAGATCTTGTTTCAGATCTAACTGACACGATCTCTACGCAAATAAGGGGTCGTGCAGTGATTTCCTACAACTGTCTGTGCCCAGCACCGTCTGTGGGGTCTCTCTCTGAAGGGGAGAGGCAGGGGTCATCTTTCCAGGACACCCCATCCCTCTGGGGGGCCCAGGAAGCACTGAGACTGAGGGAGCCCCCCCCCCCCCCCCCCCGGCCTCCGGGGGCCGCCGGCTCCCAACTGGGAGATGAGCAAGCATGCCGCCTCCTCCAGGCAGCCGGCAGTGCTGGGCAGCGGACGGGCAAGCTTCTGCCCCGCAGCCCGGCTTTTCTTCCCCGAACCATGCGGGGAGGTGGCAGCCGCTAGGGCCCACGACGGAGCCTCCAGGCACTCGAGGGTGGGCCACCAGAAGGCAGCCCGCGTCCGAGCCAGACCCGGACCGGGGTCAGGGCGGTCACTGGCTCCCATAAGGCACGCCCAGCAGGGCCGAGGGCTGACCTGTCATCCTCGCTGGTCTCATCTGGTAAAGGCCACAAACCCTTGTAATTGTTATTTTCACTCTTTCTTTTAAGACAAAAACGGAATCGGGAATAAAACAATGGCATTTGTAAGCAGGAAGGACACCACGGACTCCGGCTCGGGCTGTAATAGCAGCAGGCACTCAGAAAGGGCCGTAAAACACAAGGTTGTCTCCACGGGCCTTTGTTGCGTCTGGAGACCTCACAGGAGCCCTTTTAAAGCCTCCATTTATGAGCCATCCGCATTGTTGCGCAGACAAAGCTGGACGGGGCCACAGCTCCACATGCCATTAGGGCACGGATCATTGACGGGCCTGCCTTGTGGCCCCGCTCCCTGGACGGCTCACCGGGAGGGGTTTATGGCTCCTGCCTGCTCCTGGGAAACCTGAGGACCCTCCTGGCCTGCCAGCAAGTACTGCGAGATGCTTCTCCTTCCAAAGGAGCCCCGGGAGGGTGGGGTGAGGCCGGCACCCGGTCAGCCTGGGGCCAGGGCTCTGTATGACCACGTCCCTTGCGTCTGAACACAGGGCACCCCCCGCCCTCCCCCATCACGTTTGGGGGCCTTGGCATGAACCATGGCATTTCCCATCAAGGAACTGGCTTTGGACCCCCGGGTACTAGAAGCTTCTAGTACCCGGTACCCCCGGGTACTAGAAGTTTCTAGTACCCGGT